TGCATTATAGGCATTTAATGCTTTTCTTTTTCCGAAAGGGTAAAAATGCCGCACAAGCGGCAAATAAGATATGCGCTGTTTATGGCGAGGATGCTGTAGCCGAAAGAACTGTGCGGAAGTGGTTTGCTCGGTTTAACCCTTTGCAGTCGAAGTTATTTTAACGACAAAACCAAGACAGTACTTCTGACCTATAGTATTTCTACTTTTAATAATTATTTTCCTGTTGTGCATATAACGTTAAGCTTATTTGTTCATGCAGCTTTTTGCATTTGAAACGATTTATTAAATATAGATAAATTTAATAATGCAAAAATTATACTGAAGAATGATGTAGGAATTTTCAGTGGCGCCTTAGAGTCGCCGTTCGACTGCAAAGAGTTAAAGCTGGAAATTTCGACCTTGAAGATCAAGAACGCCCAGGTAGGCCGTCCACCACAGACGACGATATGATTAGAACAGAAATCGAGAATAACCCACGCTCAACATTACGTCAATTAGCAGGAATGCTAAATAAATCACAATCAACCATCCGCGATCATACTGTGAAGCTTGGCTATGTAAAATCGGTACGAACTTTCCGGACAACCCAATAATTCGATCCGTTGATCTGTACGTTCCGTTCCGTGTGCATATTTAGCAGCAATGGCACGACGATATTCGATCGGAATCGTAAATATCATTGTTACGAGAGATTATTGAACACAGAAGTTGCGCGCTTTTAAATGAGATGCGACGAGTCTCGCCGTTTCATTTGCCTTTATCGCCAGTGAAAATCGTTCGAATGGGACGTCGGAACAATTACGAGGCCGCGGGTTTAATGTATTTATGAGAAAAACGAGTTGATCCAATTAGAAATACGAAACAGTATAAGCATGGATAGAATTTCAAAATACAGTAATGTCTCTCTAATTGACGCTGAGATTGCGCGTGAAAATGAACAATTTGGAAAGAGGAGATGCGATTATTCGAGCTTTGCGGTTTGTTTTTACAGTCGCGAATTGTTAACGATTATAAAAACCAGCTGCAAGACTCGAACAATCGTGTCTCCTCCTCCCGAATTGTCCATTTTTGTGCACAATCTGAGCGTCAGTAAGGGAGACATTACCGTACCGATCAACTTATTTTCAACTTACTAAAATGACTAACTAAGAAACGAAATAAATCTGTAGGTAGCTGCTGTGTCTTCTGATTAGTGCAGAAAATTTTAGTTTTGCAGAAAAAAACCGTTGTCCAATAATCATCTGTACAGGTGTCCCAAAAAATGTCTCGCAATCCGAAAATGGGCGATTCCCGAGGTCATTTGAAGCAACTTTTTCCTTAGCGAAAATGCAATCCGCGACTTCGTTTACGAGTTATTAACGAAAAACACTGACCAATGAGAGGCGAGCTTGGTTAACGTGTGGCGGCTCAGCCAACGAGCGCACGGGGCCCAATTCCGCTCATTGGCTCGGCCGTCTCGCGCCAGCTGATTGCCGCGTCTCATTGGTCACTGTTTTTTCGTTAGTAACTCGTTAACGGTGCCTCGGAGAACATTTTTGTAAAGGAAGAAGTTGCTTCAAATGATCTGAGGAACCCGCCAAGAAAATTTCTTTTTGTTTCCTCCTTTCAAAATCATGGCGACAAAGCAGTCGATATGCACGTATTTTTCTTATTTTTCTGAGGCTTTTCAGTTAAAAGTTCACCTATTTGAAGAAGTAAACGCATAAAATTATACAGAGAATTTCGTTTATTTTTATTTATTTTATTACTTATCGATTCCTAGTAATGCATTTTCGGATCGGATTTTCGCTAAGGGAAAAGTTACTTCGAACGACTTCAGGAAACCCCTATTTTCGGATCGCGAGACATTTTCGGGACACCCTGTATAATACCTAACGACGGCGATAACGGTGTCTCGGGCAGACTCGAGTACTCGAGCAGACGTTCGAAAGACGTTCGAATGAAATCGTTAGCTCTTGTTCTTACCCTGAGGCACTTTACACAGGGTGCGGTTTTGGTGGAACCGAGCGGCGGCGGCTTGGCCATATGCGGGAATTCGAATGGCCGTCTTCTGCGATCTATGCTGTAAGTGCCTCGTGCGATTCTTGGAGGAGGCCTGCGAGGCGTAACTCGCTGAGGCGAAGCTGCCGCGCGAGACCTTTCGGGTGTACCTACGTACGATCTGTCGAGTGTAGGTATGCGAGACCTTTCGGGCGAGAATGGTGGAGTACGAAGGGAAGAGGAAGCTACAGGATATCCCTCGGGCGTGGTTGAAGAACGAAGTAACGACTCACCCCGCCGTAGTCGTCTCAAGTCTTCCGCTGAGCGAATCAAATATCGTTTACAGTTACAGTTAACGACGAACAACCGCGCGACTCCGTTTAGCTTTCTTCGGGAAAGCTTGTTCGTCTTCTGGTTTCAACGTTTACAATTGTTCGACAGACGTCGTCAGCCAGAGTCACAGAATTGCGTAAAATAATGGCAACCTAAATTGCATTCGACGAGGAACTACGTTCGTTTTTCGTGTCAATTTCGTACAATTCGCGCAGCTTCCGAACGAAAAGCAGATTCTGCAGATTCTAGGCCGTTCTACATAGCGGTTGCAAACGTTAACATTAACAATTTGAGTCGATAGCTGGTCTAGTCGACGCGTTAATCGGATCGGATCGGATCGATCTGAAGCTGCGATGGCGAACCTTTTTGAGAAGTGGGGCAAATTTTGTTCATTATTTTTTTTTTTTTTTTAGTACCAGCTCGTGGGTCACTGAGTCAGTGGCGTCACTTTTAAAAATTCTCTAAAAAGTTTACGTTTTCCTTTTGTCTTACAGCTTTTTTACCTTTGCAAGTGAAGAGCTAAAAATAAAGGTCGAGGTCAAAAAATTGATATAAATGATACCATGAATTACCGCGCCAGGTGACGTAATGCATAGTCGACAGTCGGCCCTGCACTGAGTATTTGAATGAACAAGGAATAAAGAAAATTACATATATATTATTAGACATTATACATACAATATATATATATATATATATATATATATATATGTTATTTTTTTAATATTTTTGATTATTCTCTCTTTTATGATATTAAAATATGTAAATTATGAAAATCAATATATACATACATAAATTTATGAAAATCAACGCGTGGGTCATTTAAATAGCCTGCGTGGATCAGTGTCTGGCCGCCCGGTCATTGACCCCCTGCCATCACCGATCTAAAGCGCATTTCCAAAAATTGATAAACGAGGCTCCGAAAGATTCTTACAGTTTTCTTAATTGGGAAAGTGCTATGGCATAATATCAAATATTAGGTAACAAATAACACATAAAATATCGTGAAAGTTTCTACAAAAATCGCTGTTAGATCTTACAAACTCAACACATGACTGTTGGAGCAACGTTTCCCCAACTTTACAGTCATTATTTCCTTCAATCTCTACGCGTATTCAGTGTGTTTAACTTACATAAACCGCTTACGACGAACTCGCTCGAATCGTCCGTTCCCGACTGGTAAGAGCCAACTGAAATCGACAGATTTCAATCGTCGGAGAACAATTTCCGAGGAAATAATAAGTGCGCGAACGAATGATCCAAAATGTTTTTAAGTAGCAGCGTTGAATCGCGCTGAGAAAGATTTAAAAAAAAAGGTATAATCGAATCCTGGATTGCCTAAAAAATGTTCGAGTAATATTTCAATCAAATATTATCCTTATTTCACCCCCCTAAGAAAACGAGACGGAACGGAAGAAAAGAACAAAACAACACGCTTCGCGTAATCTTTAAATAACCACGAAATATCGTGGGGGAAAAATTGAATTATTCGTTTGCGTTTACACCCGAATAACGTGATCGAACGTACAATCTAAGCGCCGGGCCACGGCCAAGCCCCATGACAGATTGCCTGTTGGTATAGTAATAGGTGCGTGTGAAAATGGGACTGCCTGGGCACTACACTGGGCTGTACAATATCTTTCGCCGCTTTCCGTCGATCGGTCTTGAGTCGTTCGCCACGAAGTTTCGGCAATAGACCTGCGAAACATTTCAATGATCGCGCCGTAATCGCGGCGCGTGTACGCTACACAGCGCATCGCCTGCAACTGGCCAGCAAATTTCCACGTGGAAATTTTAGACAACGTTGCGTGATTTCTGGGACTTATGCGACATTTGATCCAACACGATCTTCATGCAATCTCTAATACTAATGCGATACAAGTACACAAGTAATATAAACTGAATGACGTTCGTATATGCACACACACACACACACACACACACACACACACACACACACACACACACACACACACACACACACACACACACTCACACACAAACAAACAAACAATAATAAAAAAAATAAATAATAATAAAAATAATAATAAAATAATATAACAATATATATAAAATAATATATTAGGTCATTCGGAAAGTTGTTTCGTTTTTCATAAAAATTTCATTTTGTAAGGGTGTTAAAAAAACACTCGATTTAGTATTTTTCGAAATGTAAAATTATAAGATTTCAAAGTTACCAGAAAAATGTCGAAAAGTTTGCTTTTACTCGTAACGTTAAAAAAATCGTCTTTCATTTTCTCGCGAAAGAATGAAACAACTTTTCGAACGACATAATATATACATTATTTTCATCAATATATTATATAATATATTTATTATAATTTATAATATATTGATTTATAATTTATTTAATATATTTTCATTTTTATAATATATTATATATATATATATAATATATTATAAAAATGAAAATATACTAAATATATTATAAATTATAATATTGTTTATACTATTATATTTTATTTATATTTTATTTATTATTATATATTATTTTTCATAATATATATATACATATATATTATGAAAATGGTATAAACAATAGACGCGTCTTCTAGCATACTTTCCGATTTTAGCTTTAGGTTACGTACGGATCAGTTTCCTCGAGCGCAGAGTAGTATTCTTCGGAGCATTGCGTGCTATGGTTGCAAGTACACATTCTCCCTAGTCCCGCTTATCGTGTTCTATGACTGTGGAACGGTGAATTTGGAATTAGTTTGAATATAGTTCGATTTTCCTGCGCAACGTGCACCGGAAGGTTACATTTCGACTTTGACGAATACGGCGCGATGCTCGGTTATTCCGATTCGTTAACATGCCAAAGCCAACTGCTAGGCGGCGCTCGCCTTGATCCACATTTCTCGATCACAACTCGACGGCTATTTTCGCTGGAAAATCGAAACGGTCTCGCGTCTTTTATTTCGAAGCAATCGTCTCGGTTGCAGCCAGAGATGCGAGAATAATCGTATCTGAAGAGTCGCGGCGAGCCGAGCCGAGCGTTTGAATTTTTCGAGTTCGATAAATCGACGAACTGTTGAAAAATAATACATTATAAAATAATATAAAAAAATCCGAATAATTCGAATACTCGAACACGCTTAAGATTTCAAGACACGCGAGGATGAATATTTCCATTGCGAAAATGGATGAAAACGAATTATTAAATGGTGAAATCGAATCATTCGCGTGTTCTCCAATTTTCAAGTCGCTCGAAAATAAATAATTGCTCGAATTATTCGAGAATCTACATTCTACGTACTGCTATCGAGCACCGTACGAATCAACATATTTCACGAAATAAAGCTCGGGTATTCGAGTCGAGTAAGGGCTTTTTCGATCGACTCTCGTCTGTTTTCGAATTTCCGCCGGTCTCGGGTAGCTCGACGAATTCGAACGTTCGGCACGGCACGAAAGATCGAACGTTACCCGACTCATTGTCGGAATCCGATTTGGAATCCGAGTACTCGAATAAATCGAGCCGAGTGGTCCCGGTGTTGGAAGAGCGCGGCGTGAACGAGACCACACACCGCGCGGTCTTATTCAAATGAACTCCGCTTACGCAGGGACTATCGGGCTACCATAAATGTCTCTTCGCAGTTTCACGAGCATCTCCTTATTTTAGCTGAACCCAGTGACGTGCAACACCTCCGAAACGTACCGGAATTTATGCGGACCGAATAATGCGGCTCGGAAGCTCACCCTCGCCTCGCCTCGCCTCGCCTCGCCTCGCCTCGCCTCGCCTCGCCTCGGCGCGGCGCGCGTCTGTTATTTGTTATTCGAGCATACATTTGTCGAGCTAAGCTCGGTCCGAATAAACAGGGAAACATCTATGATGCTACACTCGGCCCCCGAGGCCGCCATTCAAACGGAATCGCACCAGCTATCTCTGTTTGATTCGCGATCATCCTCTGTGTACGTATGCTGGATTCTATTTCGAGTTAATGGTTCTCAATGTTTTCTGCCCCCGCGACATTCCGTACACGGAACTGCGGATTACATATATGTAGTTTTGCCAAGTCTGGCACAGCGTGTCCACTTTTTGGTACAAAGACACCGGATCCACTGTTTCCTCGATCTTCATTATTTCGACGAGAACGTGGATTGCCGTGTAAAGCGTTCGTTTAACATTTTCTTACGGATTTACGGAGCATGAAAAACAGCTACCTCGCGAAAGTAACGATAAGACATTTATTCAGATTTTTAACAAGCGTGATTTGTAACATTTGTCGTAAGTGAATTGAATAAATAACTCATAAATGTATCTTTACGATTCGAATAATCGTAAATGAAAAAATTAGCGACCCGTTTACGGGCTCCGTGAACCTACTGTTAATTACGTGACGCTACGACAATGTGATTTTGCTTTCTCGATCTTTCTATTCGAACAGGTTCTTCGTGTTAACGCAGCGTTTTGGGAAAAATAATTCGTTTCCATAACAGCAGAATTTCGAGAAGAGCGCACAGGACGTGAGCGTCGAAATTCCATTTTTCTTGCTAAATTTGCATGTTTCTCCTGGGCCAAGGAGTTATAAATATTTCAGTCGACGCGCGGTTTCGAAGCTTTCGATAACGACGAAAACGAGGAGCGGGGGCACAATGCCGATAGCTGGTTCTTCCCCTGGGGCAAGGAATTTCGATCGACCTGACCGCGCGCACCGCCTTGTCCGAACACACCGGACGCGGCACGTCCGCGTCCAATCTGTAATTCAAATTTCAAGTAAAATTAATTGAACGCACGTCATTCTTCACGTTCCGCCTGACGCGGCGCGGCGCGGCGAGGCGCCATTTTTCGATATTTCATTCTATGTATACTCATTGATGGATTGCGTCTCCGAGCGACGCGACTGTCGCGCGTCGCTTCCATCGAGAATACCAGTCGACGATTGTCCGAAACATTTGGAGAACGTAACTCTTTTTTATTCGTTCGAATTTTTCTGACCAATTGAATTACATAAATTGAATTTACTGCACATGTCGCGGACCAAATCCCGCGAAACTTTAACCCTTAGCGCTCCGCGCGTTTCTCGAGTACCGCCTACCAGCATCTCTGGCACATTTTTGGAGCGCCTGAGATAAAGGAAGTCATATTTTGATATGACATTGTTATAATACAACTCAATTTTCAATTATGTTACAGATCTTTGAATTTGAAACGTTGATCGTTCGACGGTCCGATCTCGACTCTTCGATCGTCTGTTGGTGACACTCTTCCCTGGCAACTCCTATCTTTCATTATTTTTTAAGGAGTTGTTCACAATTTTCACATTACAGCGACTTGATTCGGACAAGTCGCGGTAACAATACGATTATTCGAGCGTCGCGGCTCATTCTTATAGCTGCCGATTGTCAACAATTATAAAAACGAGGCGCGAGGCTCGAATAATCGTATTCCCTCTACCCAAATTGTCCATTTTTGTTTACAAACTAAAGGATAAATTAACCCTTAGCGCTCCCGCGCGTTTCTCGAGTACTGCCTACCAGCAACTCCGGCACATTTTTGAGATAAAATCCTGAGATAAAGGAAGTCTTATTTTGAGCGAAAAAGATTACACGTCCTTGTGAACGCATTTGATTTTATTTATTTCTTAAATATACATTTTCCTATTGTAAATAAAAGATAAATTTTAAATTCTGTAATTCACCATGGTATGATATCTTTGGTAACAATCTTCCACGCGCATTCTGGGTTTACTTCGACAAGTGTCACAGTATTCACTTAGTCAAATAGAGTTACTAGATATTTCTTTCAAGTTTAGAACATTTTCCGCGTAATTGTTGGTTTCCTTTATAATTTCATTTACCGATTCGTCCGTGAAAAATAATTTACAATATTGCATCGGCTATTCAATGTTTGTAGGAACTTGTGGTCCAATGACCTGTGGCAATACACTAAAAGCTATTCTATCTGGAATATGTAATTCTTCCGTAACATCGCGAAATTCATCCAAGTCTTGCAACGAATCTTCGCTTTCACTTTCAATAATTCTCATTCTTCGTCTCTTTGGTAGTATAATTTCGCTGCTGCTACTCGAAGTGTCAGAATCATAACCAACATTGTCTTCCACAATGTCTTTTAACTCTTCGAAATCAAATACGTCTTCGGTATCACACGGCTCTAAATTCTCATCGTAATATTTATTTTTCTCCACGTTGCTAACCATAGAAAAGATCAACAAATGGTTTAATCGTAATGGTACAGACTTAGCACGTTTTAGCTACAGATAACAATTGCTAACGCCGACGATAACGTATGCTAAAAATATTTGGCTCCGCAGCGGAGCCTTCGGAGTTACGGAACAAATGACAAATGTCTCCGTAGCGGAGCCTTCGGAGCGCTAAGGGTTAATAAACGCATTTCAATGATTGCCCCGATGCTGGTACAATAAATCAGTTGATTTTGTATCAGTTAATTTGATTTTCATCGAATACCGGGTCGAACGGGATCGATTTGGGAAGCATGAGTTGTTCTCGGACAGCGCGAGCGATCGTGGAAAGCAGCTGGTGAAGTCGGTGAATGAGTTAGTGCCTCGAATCGTGTATGGAAGACTAATCGACGATGTAGACCGCGGGGAATCCGGTTCGAGGGTAAAAGGGACCAAAGCCACTAAAACGGTCCTATTAAGCCTCCCTGCGGTAACACAATCGAGCTCTCTCGCCCATTCTCGCAGAATGCTGGCAGCCAGCGTTTCGTGGAACCAAGTTCATTCTGGGTTCGTTCACTGGAAAAGAGAGATCCGAAACGATTTCACGGTTATCGGTGCACTTTCGTTTCCCTTTTCAACGAAATTTATTAACGAAATTACATGGCACTTTTGTCGGATATAATCATATAATTATAATATTTCGGACGATAGCCTATTCTGTTCGCGGCCCGAAGGGATTTCAATGAATTAATAGGTCGAGAGTTCTTAGACATTTCTGGACAATGATTATTATTAAATTTCCTTGTTATTACGAAGAAATATTTTACACGGCGAAATTAATATGTTTCTTATAGATTCTATAAGATTATTGTATAATGATCAATAAAGATAAGAGTTTGTACGAAGATCCGCAGTCTATCGGTACCAACGTCTCTTAACAATGATAAAATCAATACATAATCGCAATCGTGTGGTTGTCGGATTCTATTCAACGTCGGTTGAAACGCCGGGAATCTAATTTACAATCAATTCATTTTGTAATGTTAATGTTTTGTGTAATGTTTTTGTTTCCTTTCAGGTTCTTTAAGTTAATGGATGATTTTACGTCTGCTTGCGGTGAAGGTCAGTCTGTTCAACTATTTTTTTTATACCTAATTTTTACCGGGAAACCCTTTAACATTATTACTAGACTGCGGATTTTATGCGATTATGATAAAATCGAGCAGACGACTGCGTATAAAAAAAAAACAGTGGAGAGATTTAAAAAAACGATCTGAAAAATATCCATACATCGTCTTCGACATATTAAGATTATTATTTATTTCACCGAATCTTAATTGTTTCGCATTCCCTTCGATTAGAAAATGCGTTTAACGTTTCCAGCTGCGTATGCAATTTTTGAATCTTAATACATTGAAAACCATTGATGTACGTTTTTTTTTCTTTTTATAATCCCTTCGTCGTGCTTCGAATAGGATAGGTTTGTCCGAAGTTTGACGATGATGCAAGGTACACGGGGGTCTTGCGCGAACTTGTTTGTCATTTCTATTCCATCCAGCAACTAAAAAAGATCGTCTATCGATTTTCGGAACGTTGTTGCAAAGGGGAGCTTCGATCATTCAAATCTATGGTATATACTTTATTATATAATTAATATATTATATATTAATATACTATATATTATTATATATTATATACTATATATTAGTATATATTATATACTATATATTAATAGTATTATACTTTATATGGTATATACTTTATTATATAATTAATATACTATATATTATTATATATTATATACTATATATTAGTATATATTATATACTATATATTAATAGTATTATACTTTATATGGTATATACTTTATTATATAATTAATATACTATATATTATTATATATTATATACTATATATTAGTATATATTATGTACTATATATTAATAGTATTATACTTTATATGGTATATACTTTATTCACGAAACTGTTCAACGAACGATGCACGAATTTGTATTATTTTCAAGGAGAAAAAGACATGTCTTCTCGGTTTCTCGTTCGCTATATCATGTGAAACGTGTTACAACACAACGACACCTTTGTCATTGAAATGAAAACTTCTGTCATTACATTCTGTCGTAAATGTCTAAACAATTGTCGACTGTCTGCCTCTACAACGGTGTACGCGCAGCTGAACGAGATCGACGCGTGTGCGCAAAGTTCCTAGAAAATCGGTGAGCTTCAGGAATCGCCTCGAGAACTACATATCCTCGTTAGTTACACCGGCAAATTTCATTCATTTCTATCGATTCGTAGAGTGAAAGTTATTTTGTAATATTAGGATGTCCTACAAGTTCTTTCCACGCCGCGCTATGAATGACTCCAACTGGCTGCGTTTATACATATAAACACGCTGGCTTATCTCTTGGCTGTTTAGGGTATCGGTTTCAGTCGTCTCAGAGCTCTTTTAGAGTATGTTTCGTTGGTGACAAAGTTCCTTATAAAATTTTTCTGAGCCGTTCAATATGAGTAGCCAAAAGAAGCATTTTCGGCATGTTATGCTTTAAAAAAAGTGATAGGGCAAAGGACACTGCAAACGAGATTTGTACCGTTTACAGTGACGGTTCTACGACTATTAGGACAGTCCGCAATTGGTTTAAGAGATTTAGAGCTGGCAATTTTGATTTGAAAGATGAAGACCGCAGCGGCCGTCCAACAACGACTGATGCGAACTTTATCAATTATATGCTCGCTGAAAATCCGCGATATAGCGTGCGCGAGATAGCGGATGCCACTAACATACCCAGGACAACGGTACATAAGCATTTAATCAAGTTGGGATATGTGAATCGATTCGAAGTTCCACACCGTCGATAGGTATTGACACCAGCCTTATGAACCGCGTCTCTACGTGCGATTTGCTTCTCCAACGACATGGCAGAAATCCTTTCCTAAAGAGGCTTGTCACTGGAGACGAGATTTGGATTTTATACCAAAATGTGCATCGAAAACGAACGTGGTCGAAAGGAAATAGTCCCTCAATTGTTGCGAAGCCAGGACTTCATCCGAAGAAAGTTCTTTCGTGCATTTGGTGGGGCTGGAAAGGTGTAATCTACTACGAGCTCCTTCCTCAAGGTGAAACGATCGATTCAGCTAAATATTGTAATCAACTCGACGAATTGAAAGCCGCCATAGCAGAAAAACGGCCAGAATTGGCGAACCGACGCGGCGTCGTTTTTCATCGCGACAACGCAAAACCGCTTGTTGCGTTGTTCGTAAGACATAAATTATTGCAATTTGATTGGGACGTTCTACCTCATCCTCCGTACTCTCCAGACATTGCTCTGTCCGATTATTACCTGTTCTTCTCGTTAAACAATTCTCTCCGTGAAAAACGGTTTAAATTCGTAAGCGAAATAAAAACGCGTCCTGATCAATATTTTGCAAATAAGCCTCGACAATCTTGGAAAGACGGCATAACGAGGCTTCCTGAGAGATGGAGGAAGGTAATAGAGCAGAACGGTTCATGTATAACTCAATAAATCAACTTTAACACGTTGACTGCCGCGTCACCCTTATTCTGGTGACAGTAAAAGTTCTCATCAGGCCACGTCACCCGTAATTCGAGTGACGCTGATTTGACTACTTACAAAGGATTTCCGAAAATATTTCGACAAATATTCTACAAGAGGTAACGAAACTATTGAATTCTTATAAAAATGGTTTATTAAAAAAATTATTCGCAGTGTATAACATTAAAACATTCTCTGCAAAGTTGAGGTTGATCAGGACAGCTTGGACAAAAAGTTGTTTGTTTTTTCAGATATGCTCGTGCCTCTGATCGGTCCATTTCGTATTTTTTATTTGAACTGTAGCTTCCTCAGTATCATCAACATTTCTTTCTTCTTCCATGACCAATTCTCGTAAAATCTCGTCAATAGTATCTGCATAACATTCATTATCACTAAGATTATATTTATCAGTATCCAAATCAGAATCTGACGATGTAATTTTATTTACGATCTCTTTTCATTATTGAAAAAAAAATAAGGGCAGAGATTTTAAGTTATACCATTCGGTACTCGGCAAAGATTCCAACTGTTCATGCAGGAACAGAAACAGATATGAATTAACAGCGCACGCTTCCTATAGCGGCACGGGTGGCCTGTAGGAGATTTTGTTGTAAATACGCGTGGCAGTCAACGTGTTAA